TTAGGTTAATGGAAATATTATTTGAAAATAGGTGGTTGTTGCAAGAAAACAATTGTGCTGAGATTTAAGATTAACATCTAGGGAAAGTAGTAACTTCCAACCCAGCCCTAATAATCTTTTACTTAACTGGGAGTATCTAGATCTCTATCGGCCCCCTGGTAAAACTTTTACAGTGAGATTCGCGATTTGGTCTTGATTTAACCCGACGGATTGAGACTCGATTATCGAAAATCCCTGCACCCTTTTTCTATGTATCAGCGGAAAAATCAGTACGGCGCCTTGAGTAATCAGTAATCAGTTTCGGGAACTAAGTCACTATCCGTGTTTCTGAACAATCGTGAATGCTCGTAATCATAGGCGAGTTTAGACCACATTTTTTGCATTATGATTTCTCTGTTTGTCTTTCCCATTTCCCAATCCGCAATTAATGTCCGTTTGAATCAGTCTGACCAAACATCACTGTAGAGGCACAGTATACAATTCATTCGATTCCCTTCCGATTATTTTTGCGCAGTATGATATCTTTGTCTTCAACACCTTACACCGTTCCTATGAAATATTCTAGTAAAAAATCCAGCAAGATAATATAACATTTTTCTTCAATCAGAAGTGTACAGTCCAGTGCGTAATAGCACTAACACATAATGTTAGATGAAGTGAGTATTAATCTGGTTATTGGGGGTTGTTGGTATCCACTACGATGGGGAGAAATGGTTGGGGGACGAAACAGTGATTATACAAACCCGATTACTATGTTGCATAGACGAAAATATCGAGCCCATTCTAACTGTCAGACACAATGATACAGTAAAAACAATGTCCATATTACAACTCCCACACACTGCAGTTCAATAGTCAAGTATGAGTGTTATTTAAGAAAAAAGCTTTGTACTCCTGCCCTAAGAAAACGACAGTATACCAGTTCCGTTTGAGAACAACTTCATAATCCATATCCCTCTTCAAAACTGTCACCGGTATCAAATAGGCATCCGATTTCGGCACAGAAGAAAGCCTAGAAACGTACACTTAATGTGATGAACGTAGTCGGGTTCTGTACACTTCCTATAGGAAGATGCAAAGGTACGCTTACGAGCACTTTTTAAATCGTGATGTAGCAGTTGATGCTATTTAACACAGACTGACTATGATTTTATTCGCCACATCGGCAAAATCTACTGACGCCTAAGTGTAATTGGAGCTGTACAATGCTTCACTGGTACCAGCCCATGCATCCAGATAAACCTGTCATTCAGAGTTCACTTCCTAGACCTCCCAAAAGGCTTCGCTTTTTCACACAACGGACCCTTATTTTCTCATACCTGCAAAAACATGGATGTAAGGATAATTACTGACACATTATATTGAAATAATCATTCCGGTGTGGTAATAAACTCGGGATTCTCTTGCACTGTACATTGCATTATCAATTTCAACCAATTACTATTATACACAGGCATCAGCTCAAAAATGCCAAAAAAGTTTTAACAGTAGCCTATTTTTGTTTTTGTTAGATGATTGCATTTTAAGATAGCCAAGTTATGAATAACTGAGGGAGTTTTCTGTTAATCGTCACACAAGTTTTATATCGGTGTTAACCATTCCGTTCAAAGTGGATTCCGACTACTTTAAGCATCCTATACAAATGCTCCTGTTTCGAAAGACTTTTCTTCTCATTTTCGATATTCAGTTTACTGCAAAAGAAAACAAAAATTGAGTTGAACACATCACGAATGTTTCTTGTCGCAAAGTTCGGTAGTACGTACATTGTAAGACCTTCATGAATGCTACGTACGAATATTAAAAATCTTCCATTACAAAATATAAGTGGGATTAGTTGCTTCAATTTGGGCAGGGTGCATGAGAAAAGTATTATGTATCCCTAGCTGGTAGCACAATCTTTATATTGGACTGCTTGAATACAGTTCAACCCTGAGAAAAATCAATATGAACCGGAGTGCGTTGTGGACCAAACGAACTGTGAGTAGTTTTCATGTCGTTTGAAAATTGCTGTTGAATATATTTCGGAGCTATAGTTTTTTTGCAAGATTCTGTTTGACTTAGGTAAGTTAACATCATAGACACGAATTACAGCACGTGAATTCGTTGTTTTTTGGGGTTTTGCTTGTTGGGTACCCGTCAGTTCCCAACATGCTGAACGCATCATACATGTGATGTTGATTTTGTAAGCAAAGTGATAAAGAGCACCGAACTATTCCTGTAACAATATTGCTCGAGACGTTGGTCTTCGACCGTATTGATCAAGAGTAATGGTTTCCACTTTCAACCCGAATCTTCGCGATTGAAGTCCTACCCTGGACACAAAATTGCACAAACTGCCTCCCAAAAGAAAACGAAAAAGCTGTCCAATGTTCGTCACTTGATTAAAAAACTTACCATCGTATATATGATTTGACAGTCTTTCCCCATTATGTTGCTATCCTGCGTGAGCAAGGGTATATCCTGAAGAGGATAGATCGCCTCATTTGGACTTGTCGTCAAAGTCAAACATATGGTTAGACTGATAGAAACGTGTTTGCGCAGCATAATTAGCACTTATTTAAGTGTATGTATATTCCACTAGTTAGAGTTTTATTGAAAAAGAGCATCAAAATCTTCATAAGAAACACTAGATATCACAGGCAGTTTCTCTGGTGAGTGCATTGCGATATTCCAACTCCATACCAGCCAATGATATTTAGCCCTACCATCAACCGGTCTAGCGAGTCCGTTTTGCTAGGCTCAAAATTACTTTAGGCCGAATTAGAAAATTTTATGGTCTTCCACTTCCACAATTTCTGTTAGCAGCACTGTTAACGTGTGCCTATCTTATATAACACCTCACCGGTCACGTAATCCAGAAACCTTGCTAATCCAATGCTGGCTAGTATATATCTGTTTACAGAAGCAGAAAATGGCAGGATGGATCACAAAATTTAATAACAGTAGATACCTCAGATGGACAGATGTAATGCATGTGTGCTGTCGCTTGCTGCTCATAATGGAGCAATATGATTCTGCTACGAAGCATACACGTTTCGTTGACCAATATGATGAAGAACAAAATTAATATAAAGGAAACCAATCAATTATCTTATTCATGCTGACTTTCAACCAGGAAGCCTTCGGAAGACGTTGATTGAAACCCGATTCCTCTTCTGTCTGGCCCTGTTCCGTTTTACACAATGCCATTTTCTTAATACTTTGTTGTGAAATGCTAGAGATTCATGAATAGAGGTTCAGCTTAGCTTTTACACCTTTGATATGCCAATTTTCATGATCAGTGTGGTATTAAAACTACCAATATTCACACACGGTAACCGCGTGTAATCTGTTTTCTTTTGTGATAAAAGCACGTTGATCGTATTCCATGCAGTTAAACTGAGACGCACACCGCATGAATGCGTTCACAGGAGACTAATACTTCCGTTCCAATAATAATACCATCTCAAGTTTTACTACCATCATAACGTTGTGGATAAAAGTGTACGGTGAAACACACAGAAATATTTGTTATCCTAGTTATCTTCCATTTTCCCGCGTTTAACTGTTTTACCTTCTTTTCACTCTGTTCTGTACTCCAATCCACCTATCTCCTATTATTGTAATTGTTATTATTGTTGTAGCGTTGGCAGTATGCTTGGCTACAAGCTGGTGTTATATTTATATATCATCATTTCAACTATGCTACAAAATGCTCAGATTGCTATTTAAAGACATCACAAGAAAAATGCACGCAAGAGGGGCAAAACGAGATCATCCGGTTGAGTTGTTAAACCAGTTAACTCCCTATCTGCAATGCTCACAAAATTTCAGCATGAGTTTTCCATTTCCTGTGAAGCTTAATGAATTTCTTCCCTAGTGAAAAACGAAACCACCGTAACTACAACGTTTTGCTGGGATTTTATTGGAGGTAACACATTAGTCACATTAGACTTCATGTTCGAAAGCTATATATTACATTGAACGACAGCTAAAACGCCTACACAAGGATGGGATTCGTCGGCATTCGATGACTATTATGTTAACTAATGAGGGGACGAAAGTTGACGGAGTGAATAACCAAAGACAGTGATGCAATTCGACGCAGGAAAATAAAAGTTAAATGGTCTTGTAAATTGAACTACTAGCTTTGTTAACTAAAAGGGGTGGTATTCGACTCTACATTTATTTCGGTTGATTGGCATAGCCCTCAGACAAAAGAACCACTCGGTCATACCTGAGCGCATGAAACAAGTTTGTATCTAACTGGTGGTTGCGTTCTCTTACAAAAGGAATTCGGAATATACACAGGTTCATCATATAATCGAATCAAATTCCTCATTCCTCTCTTATAACAAAATAGTCAGGTTTTAAAAATTTCAAACTGAGTCATAACCTTGGAGGCTAGTGCTGAGAAGAAAGAGGTCCGTTTGCCCGCAACAAGCTCGCAAAAATGGGTTGTGTCATATCGTGTATATTCCAAGGAGAAACGGTATGATCAGCTGTCCGGTGGCCAAGTGGGTGGTGTGCTTGCGTTCTACCTGTGACGTCCCTGGTTCAATCCCCAGCTGATTCGATGGGTTCGCACTGCTGATGAGACCCAACCAGGTCGAAGAAGCTGCCCAGTGCTTCCCAGCTTTTAGCTCATGCTTCATTTACACGACGAATTCATCATCAAATTTTATTTACCTTTTATTATGACAAAAATATTGCACTCACGTATTCACATATATGCGGAGCGTAGGTAAGGAACTCTCAAACAACATTTTAACCCGCTCCAATCTTCATATCACTGCTAACATTGTTGCTGTTATTCACACCTATTGACTTAGGCTAATCGTGTAACTGCAATCGATCACCCACTTCGTATGCTTTCACCGGGGAAACTGAATTAAAACGAAAGCTGGCCCTAAACAAGTTCAACGAAGGGAAATCTCTATATTTCAAAGTGATTAATTGCAACCACGCTTTTTCCGATCTTCAAACCACAAACACGAAAACACACTCTTCTAGCACATTCTATGAAACCGCACAAAAAGTTCAATATTATCCTTGGTACTGAGAATGGCTTGACAGTGACACCTGCACGTGCCTCGAAAGTGATAGAAGTGACTCACGTGTTCTCTCTTGGAGATGGCGTATACTCAGCAGAAATTGGTGCCAATAGTATCTGTCTTCACGATACAAACACATTGTGCTACATTGAAATGGGCGAAATGTCAACCTACTGTGAATTTTAAGCCAAAAGTTTATGAAGTTATAACTAATTAATTCAACGGCCTAAAACAAGTAGAATTCTAACACTACTCACGGTTAGGACACTTGCAAACAAAGCACGATTCCACGGCACTAGGAAAGAGTTTCAAAACTGCCACACTTTATGTAGCTTTTTGGTAAACTGCTTATAATAGGGTATTTTTGCTTATCGTTGGTACGGGAGCCTAAATTATTGGTGTGATTCATGGAAACGGGAGAAGACAAAGTGGCTAACATTGTCCTCTGATTTGACATATTTACACATTTTTTCATGCCACAAAGTGAGAACGCCAAGAAAAAAACACTGATTGGACGGAATGAATTTCGAGCTGCTGTAGACCGACCTCACAGTTCCACAGTCCGGGTGTTTTATCGAAATAGCAGGGTTTGTGTGTTATTATTTTTAGAAGAGTCGGTTAAGCGTTACATCACCCAAAATGTACATTATTTCATTTTGGACGAAATCAAAACATCCCTGGGCAATTGGTTGCCTAATGTCCTCAATTGGTCTGGCTCGTAGAAGGCTATCCGACCCAACACACTAAAGTAAGAACTGCATATTACGGGATGGTTTTCAGGCTAAACTGAATCTTTCTGCCATCAGTACTCAGGTAAAGTGTTCTAAAATAGTATTACCTAAAAAAGGGTCATAGATATGATTAAAGCAAGAATAACTGATGAATCTTTTTCGATTCCGCTTGAAACATTTTCAAGGAAATATAATCGCTAATTGACTCATGCCAAACCTCGATCGAACTCAAATAGGCATATGTGTGGTTGTTTTATACTCTTTTTTTATGGCCGTCAACGACGAACTTACAGCCAGCTACTCGCAATTAAGGAATTATCTTATACTAGTTTATTCACTATACATGTTGAGGTGGTTTTAGGTAAATGGATTTAAACATATACACACATGTCGCGTCACGAACTGAATTCAACTAAACACTTGCACGCGATTACTCACTCAGTAAATCACATTCAGTCATTGAAGAGTCATCGTGTGCATAAACCTTTATTGCTCTTGACTTGATTCTTGGTTGTCTGGCTTGCAAAAAATACTGCTTAATCTGTAAATGTCATAAGTAATTCTGTGTTTAGATAAATCGTTGATAGACAGCTTTGTGGCCGGTTCGGAACAGCAAACTTTGAAGGCGTTCAAGACATGTGGGATTTCCGGCTACGTATCGTGCACTCGGAAATCGCATTATGAGAAAATTGAAAATTTTTGATTATTTTGTTCACCTTCCTTAGTTTGATTATTCCCGTTGAGAAAATCAGTCAAATTCAGAAGCTTGAATTTAAAAAGGAATATCTCGGAGTTATAAAATGGTGCATGATTACTCGGAACAGTATTTCTAAGTAACGCATTCCAAGGTCTCAATTCTTTTCTCTAGTTATCCGGTGACTGAATTGATTTGTCCTGTAATCTGATAAAGAGTGACAATCCGCCTCATTTATTCTGGTCCACTGAGCCGCGGAAAGGAAATGCTGAATAGTGACTAAAAAATGCCTTATTAACCTAATATATGCTGCTACCAGGCGTGTGCATGTATTGGGAGAGGAAGTGAAGGTCTGTGATTCAGAGATAATAGAAATAATGTTTTAATTGCTCAGTCCTCGTTGATCCTATTCACTCAGTGCAAACCCATGAACAAGTTCTAGTTTCTTTCCAAAGCTGCAAACACTTCATCTGCGGATTTTGAATATTGTGTTTTTTTCTGGACTGCGTTCAAATTGTTTTTGTTGATTCTTTCGCTGTTGTCCGGCAAACCCGTGGAGTGCACTCATTCCGGCATTCGCTCGCTTGCAGGCGGACGGAACACTGAAGACGACTTGGTTGGGCAGATCATCTTCGGCGTACAGTTTGTTTCCAGCTGTCTTTTGCAGTCCACTAACACGGAGATAATGATAAACAAACACTTGGGGGACAGTGCACGCATGCATGCGCGCAAGTGAGCGAGAGAAGTAAGCACGCGAGCAAGTGTAAAACACAGCGACGACACTGAACCAGATTTCCTGCATACACAAGCGGGTAGCAGATCCGATTTTGCAGAGCTAGAGTGTTGCGCATGGATTTGGGACATAATCCGGTTGCTGTCCATGTGCGCTTTCTCGATCAGTGACCGGTACCAAGGAATACGGAGGTGCACTTGGCAATTAACAAAAGGAGTAGAGATGTTTTCAGAAGTTCAGGTTAAGCGGTAGATTGATGGGGCATGAGGAATCCGGAGTCAATATTTAAGTATGTTTTTATGCGTACACATATGTACGCAGACTTCACTTTCTATTACGACTTAATCACTGCGTCTGACCAGTTTCTAAGGTGGACGATGGAAGCTAGTTTAATCCTTATGATGAGAATTTTGGTGCTTGTTTTGCACTAAGGTATGCAATGCGTGCACCACAAACAATATTACATGCGAAATTATCCCATCCTGGATCTGAAGCGAATGGGCGAATGATAAAACTGTTAAGTACAACTTCTTAAATAACCAATTAAAATGCTTCATCAGTGGTATGTATGCCATAATTGTTTAGGTTTAAATTGCATATCTTCAACCACTGAGAAATCATAGATTTACTAAAAGCATTGAATGATTTACAATAGTTCACTTTTCCTTTATTGTCAAATAGATGGTTGATTTTCTGGAGGACTCATTGGAACTAAGGGAATGTTAATGGATGAACTCCGAAAGGGATTCAGACGGTGTTGGATGAGTGACCTTGGTTATCTTCACTGATGGCCATGTATCCGAACCGCACGAACCATCGCCCAGGCTTTCCTCTATTTGAACCCATTGAAATGATAAGATGAAATTAAATTTTCCATCATGAGGATGACCGATATTAGTTGTCCACCGTGCCCGGTAGAGGCGTGCAGAAAACTTGCAGATTAATTGATATGGTAAGGAAGAATGAGTTTTCTACTTCCGTGAGACATGATGAGTGCTTGAATGCAAACAGGGAAATCAATTTACACAAAACAACAACTCCGAATAAAACAATTACCAAATGCCCGGGCATAATTTGGAGCGAAATACTTCACAGACAGTGCGCTCACTACTTTAAACCCCAAAATCTACTGCCACCTACAGAAGGTAAACACAAATGACTATCAACTCGAAGCTTAACTCAGTTCACACCGACTGAGTCCACAGAACAAATGATCATAGAAATTCATCAATATAGAAAGAAGACAAATGTTCCGAGATGCTAATCTCCTCTATCGCTGACTTAAACAGGCATATTATTAGCACATGGGGATATTCAGCTATGGTGACTGAACGTATATAAACACACTAGGATCACTAAACATATAAGTAGAAAGTTACCTCCACGGTAAGCGGGTTGATTGTATCAAAAACGTTTGTGCGCATGAGGTTGGGCGATATAATCCTTCACTAATGACCGAGTTTTAGCATGGAGATTACGGAAAAGTGGTATGACAGACGAATTGGGAAAACTGTGTTCTGTTGTCATGATATGTTTTGCAACAGATGAGCCTGTATTTCTTATAATCACTTGACCATCAGCTATCAGTTGTGTCATCGATTTCACCAACCACTTTGGAATATTTAAAACGAACGATTCGCCGTGCATATAGCAAATGAGGCAGGGAGGTAAAGGTCAGAAAGCACTGGACAGCTGTTTCTATCCGTTTGGGTCTCATCCGCTGTGCGAATCCATCGACCCAACTGGGACTCGAACCTGAGACCTCACAGACAGATCGCAAGTATACTACCCACTCATCTATTGGGCAGGTGATCAGACTGTTTTTCATTTTCCATTTACAAACTGCAGGTTAACTACTTCACAGTGTGTGAGACAGAACCGGTTTTTTATTCATGTTTACTTTTGTCCTTATCAATTCCACAAGTAGAGGCAATGAGTCTGGTTTAAGCAGCTGGGATTGTATGGTCTAGAGCTGACCTCCAATTATGGCGCACATCATTGGTCACCTTCAAGTGCAAGCTTTAAGTCGATGGTTTTTTTGCTAACCTTCGGGATTGGGTTACCTTTTAGGAATGACCTACTGTGAATACTTTGAGGAATACAGGTTAAAAACCGGATTCATTTATTTCACTTAAAAAGCCAGTGGCAGCTTACTCTGTAACTGACATTGACGAGGAGTTGGTCTTGAATCCGTGATCAGTCACCATCGGAGTCCAATTAAGTGTTTTGATGAGACTTATTTGAAGTTGAAGACATGTAACTCCTTCCCGAAAGTAACGGTGAAAAAACAAAATTGGCACGTTCCGTGAATCAAGTAAGGAGCCCTCCAGGGTCTATTTCTTGATATGTATATTGCAGTAGACAAAATGTGTAAATGAATACATATTAATGTCACCATAGAGGGATCAAAATCACTTATTCATTCAAATCTTTGTTTCGAGTAGTGGTGAATTTCATTAGCTTGGTTAGTGGCGCTTAATAACAGCCACCGCTAAGAGCTCTAGTGAGGACCGGCCAGATTTCAAAGCCACGACTTTAAACAAATTTGTCATAGTAAATTTGTGCCCAGTTTTATCAAATGACGACCAAGAATATGTTGTACCTGTCTACACAGATGTGTCTGTTTGAGCGCTCCAAATAAACGGTACTTCTGTGTACGGCCAAGTAAGCTTGTCGAGTAAAAAGAACAAAGTGTTAGGTTAAAATGAGTATTTCCTATACCGGAATTGTTTGATTGACTCCGTGGTCTAGTGCCTTCTCAATAGTTCAGAATGTAGCTCATTAAGTAGCATAGTAAGTATGCGTGTGTATATTCACTTGTCTGCTTTGTTGACTGTCATATGTACCTGAAGGAATATAGCGAATTATTTTCGAAATTAGATTTCACAGTGCATGTTTTCGCACGTTTACTGCCATAAACGTGAATTGAAGAGAGCTCCCCGGCTGAAAAAACAATAAAATGTATATTAAAAAACGTCGAAAATTCCATACTTGCTACATTGACCATTCTTTCTTATTACAGGTTGAT